TGTCCACCCGGAAACGGAGGTTTGGTCCTAGGTCTGGTAGGGGTTATGTTGTCAGTTTGTTGTTTCATATTTATATGTCATTTGTGTGATTAGTCACTTAGGATTCTTTTTAAATTTATTCAAAATCATTCGTGATTTCTTTTTTTACATTCATTATATTCGATTCTTTTTTTATATTTATTTTGGAGTTTCAATATTCTGTCTTTGATTTATGAATTATATTGATTTGATTGTCTTTTATTTAAACTGTATATTTGTAGATTCCCTAAATCGAGTCAACCCAGCCTGTTTGCCATTTGAATGACATTTGCATGTTTACTTTGAGTCCACCAATTGCATGTTCATGCCCATGCGAGTGGGCATAACCCATGGTTACCTGTCTTAATCCTAAAAGCCTGGCGGACGTCCACCCGAAATGGAGGTTTGGTCCTAGGTCTAGTAGGGGTTATGCTGTCCGTTTGTCTTCTGACATTTGCATGTCATTTGCATGCCTTAGACTTTTCTCTTTTTCATTCGTATCCGTTTTTTTGAGTCAATGCGTTGAAATCAGGCTTTAGATTATAAACTTCTACTCTATTCACCCTTTCTAATTTATTCTACTCGTGTTTTCTTATTTATACTCGAAATTATTAAGGACAAGGGTCCTTATTTAAACTCTTTTCAATCTAATTCTGATCCCTTCCAATCCTAAAATCAATTATCATTTCAAATCTTCACGCTATGATTATTTTTCCTTTGGCATGGGTCCTTAATTGGACCATTTCATCTTTCTAATCTCCAATCTATTCGATTTTCATCATAAACTCTAGTTATCTTCAAATCAGTGCAACTCTCAACTTCCCTGTTCAGTTTCCAGTTCAGAAAATATCAGTTATTGATTCAGATTCTTTAGAATTACAGAAAGTGTCTGAAAAATTAGTATTTAACATCAACATTACTGGTGCCCAATCTGTGGAGGGCAACCATATCAGATTTGGGTCTGGATTTGAGAATCTCCAAGTCACCTTGGGTGTACCACAACCTGAAGTGGTTGCACCTCTGGCTGAATCCAGAAGATCAACTCCCATTCAAGTTAACATCATGGATGGGCCTGTAGCTGCCCCTGCAGTTACTAAACCCTATGTTTTCACTCGTTTGACTTATCCCCAGTCAGCTGCTCTCGCTAAGGAGAAGTTCCCAATCATTAGTGAAACTCCTGCAACCAAAAACTTTGAGATGGGGTCGTCTTCTGGAATCTAGGAGATGACTAAGTCTCAACGCCGCAATGTGATTCATCGTATGAGGCGTAGAGAAAAAATAGAAAAGATGTCAAATGAAGATGCTTAGATTACTGCTGCAACTGAAGCAGTAAAGAAGATGAATTCCAAAACTCTTGAAACTTATATCAATACTTCACAGTTGGTTGATAGTGAATTTCGACCACTATGCGATACTTCTAAGGAAGAGAATGAATTGCATATATTGAACTCTCCTCCTACTCCATTTTGTAGAGATCCTGTCCTTCCTTCATCATTAAAAAGGAAAAGAAAGTTCAAATCTCTATTCAATAGTCTGGTCTGGGACTGTGCCACTGATTATGGGCAGTCAAAGACAGAATTTATCAGAAGCGTGAAGGATGTGATCTCTACTGAAATGCTTCCACATTCAGGTGGAACGCGAGGAGAATCTCCTCCTACGAAGAGAAGAAGACAATTTCAAGAACTGGGTCCAAGCCGACCAGCAGCTGTTGTAGATCGCCATGGAAAACCAAGGAAATTCTCACACCATGATCATTATCAGAGTTCAAATCAACAGTATAGCCAACATACCCCTGTCAAATCTCTAGGGTATGGAGAATTAGCCCATCGAGGGTATAATCCCATATCTCATGTATATTCGAATCAGTCTAGAAATCCTCCACCAAGAATTTCTAATCATCCGTCAAATCGATACCCCTTGAGGGTTGATCGACACTATTCATAGGGTAGCGAATAATCCTCTGGTTTTGATAAGAGGAGACTGAAACTTGCAAATCAGTCAAACTCATTGTTTAATAGGGAGAGGATTCAACAGCCCAAGGTGGTTCCAACCCTAATTACATTGATGAACCAGAGGAATAATGCAGCGGAAGAAACATCAAGGAAACTAAAATCTGTAATAGAAATATCTTCTTCCAAAGAATACACTCCAGTAGATCGACACCATATGGAAGAGAAAATAATATAAGAGATTGTGGATCATCTGAAAGAAAGTATTCGCCAGATCGACGAAGAAGAAGCTGCAGAGAATGAAGAAATAGATAAAGAGATGTCTGATAGTGTTAATATGGTCGATGCTCGATCATCTCCGTAAAGAGAGAGAATATGAGTTTACATTTTGTTAGAAAATATCTGATTTACTTTTTCTAAAGATGATGTACCAGCTATCTTAAATGTCAAATGTAAGAAATTATGTTTGACGACAACAAACGTTCAAAAGAGTAAAAATTTGTCAATGACTAATATTAAAAAAAAGGATTATGTTCCCTCCCCTACCCCCTCTCGCCTGAGGGTCGACGCAGATTTTAAATCTAAACCTATATCAAAAGCAAATTTTGCTTAGAAATAAAATCTTCTCAGAGGTCCTGCAATTTTATATCTTATAAGTATCACCAGCATATTTATAAATCTATTCTAAATTTTTCCTAATCAAGTTATCATTTCTATCAAGGAAATTCGAATTTACTTTGTGGATAATTCCTCCACTTATGAGAAAACGAGTTCTCTTCTCTCGTGTTTGGAAGATAATCCTACTGAGATTCATCTTAGGGTTTTAAAAGGAAGCCCCCCTTTTACTATAAAAAAAATAAGGGAGAAAATGTATACATATATAAAAAAGATGCGCAATGTACACGTGGATGAAAAAGATGCATACAAATGCGCCAAATAAAAAATGTGCAAAGCACCAAATAAAAAAAAAGATGCACCAAAGTATGCCAAGCAACTAAAAGATGCTCAAAGTATACATAAAAATAATAATAATAAAATAAGTTAAAGGGCTTCATTTTTAAAATCCTAAATCTCATAGAATCATTTTTCTCCAGATATTTTTCTTGATACTTGATTTTTGAAAATCTCGATACCAGATTTATTTCTATACATTGATATCTTATTAGATATAAATGATCAAGCAAGAAACTTAAAAGATTAATTTTCTTTTCCTTAATTTGATCTTTTGAAATAAGTTTTAATTTAAAAACATAAGGGAGGTTTCATTTTAGCATCTAAGGAAGTTAATCTGGGTCCATGATAATTGGTCGATAGCTCCATCGTAGTTTGACATCATGTTTGTTTCTCTACGAGTAAAGAAATGATTCATCATAGTAGAATTCATAGCAACTCGCCAAGCTAAAGACTATTGCCTAATAAATGATGGTCTACCGGATGAATGAATCATGAAACTCAAGTCGAATGAGAAGTTCATCTGGGAATTCTCTTTTGATGGCATTACTTCAAGTCAGTTAACAACATCAAATAATATTTCCTAAGTGCTAGATAATTCCTTGATAAATGAGGAACTACCAGATGTATAACTCCTAAAACTCAAATCAAACGAGAAGTTCAATTGGGAATTCTATATTTTGATGGTAATCTTTCCAGTTGATAAGAAGAATCAGATGATGTCTCCCCAGAATAAACTAGAATTGGTATAATACTTATTACACCTGATCAAGGTGTGATGTATTACTCATACAATATTTTAATGCCATGTACAAACAAATGAAGCTGAGCACGAGGCTACGATAACTGGTTTAGATTTGATAATTCTAAATTAGATCAAATATATACCAAAATCCTTGGCACCCTCCTCCACCCGAGTGGATTAAAGGCAACTTTGATGCTGTTCTTTTAAACTATAATGAGGCGAGAATAACAAGAGTTTTTAGGGATCATAAAGGAAGGTTTCTTTTTTGCTTTTGGGATCAAATGTGTACATTGTGACATTGGCTTTTTGGAGCTTATGGCCATTCGGGCCTTGAAATTATTTAACCATACTTGGAGCTTTGAAGCTAAAGGAATTGTTATTGAAGAGGATAATCATAATATCATCAAGTATCTTCAAGATTCTTTAAATAAAGTCCCCAATACGGAGGAAGCGGCTGAAGATTTGTCATTCTTGAAGGATATAGGTAACTTTCTTTTTCATTGTGTTCATAGAGATTGTAATAAATTAGCCGACCTTTGTGCTAATTTTGCTTTAGTAGAAGATTTTATTTGAGAGGATCTTTATTGTAATAAGATTCCTCCAAGTTTTTTGGTTTTGCTTAAGGATGAGTGTGATAGTCTCTCTATCACCCACTAGCTTGTAATAGGTTGTTTTTCTTCTTTTAAATGCTATTGGCAATTTCAAAAAAAAAAAAAAAAAAAACCTAATGCTATTGGCAATTTAAAAAAAAAAAAAAAAAACACCTCTAAACAATGTGTTTAATTATATTGGGGGGAATTGCCTAATGACCATAATATTTTAAAACTTTTAGGGGAGACAATTGTCAAAAAATTTTGTAATAAAAACTAAAAAAAAAAGAATAAATTACTAAAAAAATTATATAATAGATTTTTTTCCTTTGGGCTTTAGGTAGATCCACCTTGTCTAAAAAGCCTCTCAATTTCAACAATTGATATCAACCACGGGTTTTAAAGTGCATGATGTTCATTTTAAAATGTTTCTATGTGATAGCTTTTTGCTCAAGAAGTTAGGGCCGGCCACATGAATTTTTATTGCGTCCTCCCACCTGACGTAGAGATACGTCCTCCCAGAGTTAAATTCGCGCTAAAAAACGAGAAATACCGAGAAAATACCGAGCATACCAAACAATAACGAGGAATATCATCATGTGAAGACCAATACCGAGTTATACTGAGCTATACCGAGCAATACCGAGCTATACAAATAACTAGTTTTTCCTAAAAAGAACTTGTTATTTTTTTGTATTGCTCGGTATTGCTCGGTACAGCTCGGTATAACTCGGTATTGGTCTTCACATGAAGATATTCTTCGTTATTATCAAATAATACATAGCAATACCGAACAAAAACCAAATTTTTTGATGGTGGGAGAATGCATCTCTGAGTTGGGAGGACGCAATAAAAATTCCAGCCACAGAAACAAAAAACGTCTGGCTTTTCTCACGATTGATCTCATATTCCCATTTATGCTAGGGTCGGCCACACTTCACATACTCTCCCTGGTCATTCACGGTTCATCTCCCAGCTGCACCTCACACGCCTCTCCTCTCAGCCGACCAATCCAGCCCAAGCCATGTCGTCAACATCCGCTGCTGCCATCTCCATCTATATCAGGTTTTGGGGCCAGAGCATGGAAGTGGAAGGAAAAACAGGAGTAAATAGTAAGGATTCCGCATATCAAAGATATAATACATAGCAGGCTGCTAGGTGGATTGATCAGAAACTTTTGGCCGACAATAACCCTTACCAATTGAAGTCATGGTACTATGGTGATTCTTTATTAAATTGTTCTTGTCATGATAGCACTTCTTCATCTACATATTTTGATTCCGCACCTCTAGCTCTACTTGAAAATACATTCATGTAAAGTTATAATGGGTTTTGCTAGGCATTTAGTTCTTTCATGTGAAATGTGTAGATTCTTCTTTAGCTGTTCTGTACATTATAGCCATTTCAGCATTATTGCTTTGGGATTTTCCCTTCTAAAGTGTTTTGTGTTCTAGCTTAATTTTTATAGTTATATAGCATGCATGAACCTCTTCCCTTTGTTAATGATCCAATATTTGTTGAAGAATAAGCTTTTGTTTGGAGTTAGTAGATGTTGTGTTTCACTTTTGTTTTGGTGATTTGGTTTTTAGGAGATAAGTTATTTTCTTATTATACTATCACTTCCATGTTAAGAGAACTATAGCTGCATTTCACAGGTTGTCTCACCCACCTAGTGCTAAAATGGGACTGGTTTACAGATTTGACTCAGCCAATGTCCTCCTAGATTTTTGCTGATCCATATTGGTAATATCTTATGTTGTTCTAAATTTAAGGTGCTTGACTTGTATAAGGGTTTAGTACTACTATCTCCTTGTTATAACCATTTAATACAGGAATTTTGCTACAAAAAAAAGTTTATACAATAGAGGTATGTTGTGGTTCTCTGCTAAATTAAGGTTAAGAAGCTTCTAACTGTATTGAGTTGCTCTTGAGTTTGCTTACATATGATAATGTATTCACCAACCAGAACTTGTGTTAAAATATGAAAACAGAAGAAGGTATAAAATAGCAGAAAATTTACATACATTCTCCATATATCAAATGTTACAGTAGAGATATTTATAATTAGAAAGAAATACATTGAGTTGAACAAACACTACATCAATCGATTTGAGTAAAGTTTAATAGTTATTTATCAATGGTTATAATTTATTACCATTGATGCAGAGATAACAGAGTATCAAAGGTAGTTGATCTTCTTTTGTTGCTACACCTATATTTTTGTCACTTTAGTTGCTCAACACAAAATTTGCATCAACAGTGAGAGAAGCTTACTCAGGATTCCTTGGTCATTTCGAAGAATATTATATATGATTTGATGAACTTTTATTTTCTGTCATTGTAATATAAAATAAATATAAATTCAATTATTCTATTTAATTATAACATTTGACAATAAATATTGCCTTTAATAGCCATGCATATATATATAAATATATATATATATATGTTTTTAATGTCTTTCTGTTGGAAAGAAAGTTGACCTTTGGATTTTTTTTTTCTTTCGATGAAATTTGATTTTTATTTATTCATTTCCTATGTATATATAAAATCACAACAAACTAACGCTATTATAATAATTTTGAGTTCTTCTTAAGTGTAATAAATTTCTGCAATCTTATAAGTCTTTATTCTTTCCAGACTCCTGAACCTCACTATTTGTTTAACAATGATTTGAAATAGCAATTTAAAATTCTTAAGTCATTGACGAACTTGTTTTATGTGTGGTTAACTAAATTGATGGAATGAAATAAACCCTCTGCCATTTTTTTTTCTCATGCCATTTTATACAAAACATGATAACTATTGAAATAGAATAAATCATAGGGATAGAAAATTAGCATGAAGTGAGATTTTATATATGTTTAAATGTCAACAGGTAACAATCCACACATTGACCTTTTATACACATAAAATAAAACAAAATAAGAAACACAATTGATTTGATCAATATAAGTGAATGATGCTAGTTTATATTTTTAATAGACATCATTCTCAATACGTGTTGTTTACTAATTACAATGCTTTAGTTGCTATGTTCACCATAGACATATTTGTAGGTCAATCATCAAAACAACATAGATTATATATTACTAAGTACTTGTGGTGCATATATACTTGTGGTCTCTTTTGTATAATATAAGAATCATAATTAATAGTATGAAAGGGAAGTAACTTGTTAAGGATAAACTTAATAGTCCCATTTCTTGTTGTTATATATATGCACTATTTCTTTTAGTTTGCATTTAACACATATATTTTGAAGATGAAGGATCAAATAATAATGATTCTAAGTAATGTTCTTTGTACAATGTAAACACTCTTATTTGAATTATCCTATTCTAAACTCAATATTAAGATAACTTGTGTAAAATTTCATGATGCATTGCAATTATTGTTATAGTATTAAATTTTTTGAGAAAGACATAAATTTTAACATTCCTAAATTTATCCTAATTATATCTTTGATGATGAATTCTCTTCTTATAGTATCATAAATAACATCTACCTTACATCAATCTCCCTTATGTCATCATCATGATTATGTATACATGTAAATTTGTATATTTGAATACATAAATTTTGACACATACTTTTCTCTTTACGTTATGTGCAAGGGAATGGTAGGGCTAATTAGAGAGTAAAGCTAAAGTGACTAGTCACGTTCAATTTTTTTTTTTCAAATGGAGGTGCTATGGTTGGCTTGTACCGTTGACTTTCTCCGAAGAGATAAATTTTATGAACTCAGGGCCCCTTAGGTCTTTTAAGCCTCGCATGTGAATTGGATATCATAAACTATAGATTCTTGTTGAAACACTGCTTTGAAATTTTCAATCCCAATCACCTGCTAGTGAGTAGGATTTTACTCGTTAGTGCCAAACTTGAGAGTTTCGTAGCATTGATTTATCAGCCAACCTAGAATTACCTTTTTTTTATTTCTTAAATCATAATATACATAAGAAAGTAAACATGTTAATAAAATAAAAATAAAAATAGAATAATTAAATATCAATAAACCCAATTTGTCAGGACTTTAATAAATAAAAATTATTGATTAATTCATATTAAATCACAAAATTAAATTCTAAAGCTCAGGTGGTTCAAAACTAAATGCTAAGTAAAGGGATCTCAAAAGTCTCATCAAATTAAACATAAATCCATTGAAATTGTAAAATTCATTAATTAACTCAATTAATTCAATAACGGGAGGACTGAACTTACAAAATACATAACTAAATCTATAAACGTCCAAATTATACAAACTTAAAGAGAATTACCTCACAACCTAAATGATTAATATTAAGTCAATAATTAACCAATTAGTACAATTTAAATAACAAAGGCAATTGCTATTCCATTTAAATAATAATTAAGAATTTAATAATAATAATAATAATAATAATAATAATAATAATAATAATAATAATAATATTAATAAATAATTAATAATAAAGTGAATTAACTAAAAAATCATCAATTAACAATCAAACTTATATAAATAGGTAATTTTTGGGTAATTCAAGCTCACAAGGCTATTGATTTAGTTCTGAAGAGGATGAAATAAACCCCATAGCCTTAGTTTAACAAAGGTAATTACTATTCAATTTAAATAAACATTCATCCAAATTATTAAAAACACTTAGACCATTTGAGACTTTAAATAACCAAACATTATTCAAATTTAATAATTAAAATCTATCAAAAAATAAATCCTAAAATATCAAAACATTAAAACTTAAATTTAAATTAAAATTCCCCTGGTTTCCAACAAATCAAATTTTATTAATACATAACTAAAATAATAAACCTCCCAACACATATCAAACAAGTACAACCTTTTTTCACAAACTAGAATTTATTTGCTAGGACCACTAACTCTAGTCTTATGACTAGGTTATTGTGTGTTTAGTTTAATGCAGGTACCTTTGCCAGAGGGTATCCTTGGCTTGTTTGCTTATTTTCAATATTCTTGATGTCATGGAATGAATAATTAAGCTTTTAAATTGTTTATGTTTGCCTCATATTTTCAAATTTAAGGGAAAATTCTATAAGATGGTAGTGAGGCCTGCAATGCTTTATGGTGCCGAATGTTGGCCTTTAAAAGAGAAGCATAATACTAAGTTAAGTGTGGCAGAGATGAGGATGCTCAGGTGGATGAGTGGCTTTACCCTTAGAGATAGGATACGAAATGAGCATATACGTGAAAAGGTTGGAGTAGCTCCAGTAGAAGATAAGATTAGAGAAAGTCGCCTTAGATGGTTTGGTCACATAAAACGGCGGCCTTGCGATGACCCGGTTAGGAGAGTAGAGGTATTAGATTTGACTTATGTTAAGAAAGGTAGGGGTAGACCTAAAAAGACTTGGTTAGAAAATATTAGGAATGACCTTTCTTTATTAGATTTAAACGAGAATTTGACTTTTAATAGGACACAATGGAGAAAAAGGATTCATGTAGCCGACCCCACGTAGTGGGATAAAGGCTTGATGTTGTTGTTGTTGTTGTTGTATTAAATATGTGTTTGTACTATCTTCCTTTTGTCGCAAAATATGTGTCGTTGTATACATGGAATGTATATAAATTAAGTTGTAAATTTTTATTGAGTTGTAAGGATTTAAATGTACTTGCTTATGTATATGTGTATAGGGATCCAAAAGATAATCCCTCTTCTGAAGAGCATTCTCTTTTAGAATTTTATAGAAAATCTAGAGCTAGAAGATGATAAATAAGTATATTTAGATCTATATTTCATAGATATAGAAATGCGAGCATGTTTGTTGGTGGAGCTAAGCCACCTTTATTTTTCAACACACCATGGGTTATACTCTAATGAAATTATAAAGGAATAAAATTATTTTTTATTTATATAGTGTTGTTCATACATCATTTACATTGCACAATTAGTTCTGTAAACATGTTGCAAAACATTTGATTAAAGTTTTCTAATTTATACCTCCTTGATTTCTAGGATAGAGCCGCCCTATCTTGCATGCATAAAACAGTTATGTGTGATTAGGATTGTTACCTGGTAGTCCACTTCAGATAGGCATAAGCCTAGATTGTATATATTTTCTCCTTCTGAACAACTTTCCTATTATCTCTAAATTTTAAATTCTAAATTCAACATAGAGATTTATAATCTAGAGCCTATACATTAAAATTTTTATAACCCATGCATTTTATTCGATTTATATGATTTTTTTTTAATTATTTGGTCTTCACTTTAATCAAGAGTATTCTCTTAGAAGGTATAATTAACTATATTTTGTTAAGTGAATATTCTGTATACCCATAGGGGAAGAATCTAAGGATGCCGACTTGCCTTTTAAATTTATTTAATTTAATTTCCTAATCAAAAGCTAAGAGGATTTTTCGTATACCCATAGGGTGAATTGAATATCCCTTATGTTTTTTTGTTATGAAAATATATTTCTTAATTTTGTTTCCTAATTGAGACAATAGATGAATATTCTCTTCATTCTTTAGGTGAATTGCATATACCTTATACTGTGTCTAATTATGAAAATAAATTATAGTTTCTCTTTTTAAATTGTTAGTAGAACACTAGTTTATCCTTTGGGGTGGTATAATATTAAGCTATCCATATTTGAAAAAAAGAAATTAATATATATTTAAAAGCAAATTCAGTGGATCATCATTTAAATTTATCCAAATACATTTGTATTATCTTGATAATTTTTTTTCTAATTGTTTATCCTGTATCTTTATTTTATGATTGAAGTTA